TACACTAGACTAGAAAAATGGACAATGCATGAGCACAACCTCACAAAAACACTGGAATGAACCAAGATTGAACAAGCGATTTACGCCATAGTGAAGATTGAAGGAGAGAGTGGAGAGAAAGTGAGTAAAACTCACTTTTGGACTGACACACATACAAGGGAAAGTTGCGATTTACACTAGACTAGAGAAATGGACAATGCATGAGCACAACATCACAAAAACACTAGAATGAACCAAGATTGAACTAGCGATTTACACCATCGTGAAAATTGAAGGAAAGAGTGGCGAGAAAGTAAGGGGAACTGACTTTTGGACTCTCACACACACAAGGGAAATTTGCGATTTGCAGAAAACTATAAAAATGAACAATGAATGAGCAAAACATCACAAAGACACTAGAATCAACTAAGATTGAACTAGTGATTTACACCATTGTGAAGATTGAAGGAGAGAGTGGAGAGAAAGTGAGTGAGACTCGCTGTTGGACTCACACACACACAAGGGAAAGTTGCGATTTACACTAGACTATAAAAATGGACAATGCATGAGCGCAACATCATAATAACACTAGAATGAACCAAGATTGAACTAGCGATTTACACCATGGTGAAGATTGAAGGAGAGAGTGGAGAGGAAATGAGTGAAACTCACTTTTGGACTCACACACACACAAGGGAAAGTTGCGATTTACACTTACACTATAAAAATGGACAATGCACGAGCACAACATTGCAAAAACACTAGAATGAACCAAGATTGAACTAGCGATTCACATTATGGTGAAGATTGAAGGAGAGAGTGGAGAGCAAGTGAGTGAAATTGACTTTTGGCCGCACACACACACAAGGGAAAGTTGCGATTTACACGAGACTAGAGAAATGCACAATGCATGAGCACAACATCATAAAAACACTAGAATGAACCAAGATTTAACTAGCGATTTACACCATAGTGAAGATTGAAAAAGAGAGTGGAGAGAAAGTGAGTGAAACTCACTTTTGGACTCACACACACAAAAGGAAGAGTTGCGATTTACACTTAGACTCGAAAAATTGACAATGAATGAGCACAAC